AATTTCTTTCAATTCCAGAAAGTTCAATCTTATACCTTTATTACATATATGCAGAATTTCGAAATCGGTGTTCGGATTGAAGGAGTGGCCCGTTTCTAGGATGTGTGAAGCGAAAGAGGATTTTATTGAGGAGGAATTATTGTTTTTAATACATTGAAGATGTTCTTGAAACCTAGTAGAAAATTTTCTCCCTGTTTGGCCAATGTAGGAAGATTTGCAGGTGGGGCAATTAAGTTCGTAATTAATAATTGCACCACCTGAAATCTTCCTACATTGGCCAAACAGGGAGAAAATTTTCTACTAGGTTTCAAGAACATCTTCAATGTATTAAAAACAATAATTCCTCCTCAATAAAATCCTCTTTCGCTTCACACATCCTAGAAAAAACGGGCCACTCCTTCAATCCGAACACCGATTTCGAAATTCTGCATATATGTAACAAAGGTATAAGATTGAACTTTCTGGAATTGAAAGAAATTTACCACCAAGTTAAAAAGAACCCGCACCTCTCTCTTAACGAAGTTCTCGGCTTTAATAACAATCTTCTGTTTTTACAATAACCCTATACATCTTTTCAAAATTTATCGATATGTCAGTTTCCTCTTATACCGAATTGTCAATCATTTCGAGACATGCCGTCTGCATGATCTCGAATTTAAACTTAACTTAAATAATTTAAATATGTAGTCATCTCAATAGTTTCAATACTTTTATAAGTTTATTTTTCCCCCCCGTTCTTTTGAAATGTGTAAGTACCTTTTAGATAAGTTATTTTTTAAATCTAAAACTTTGTTCATTTTTAGGTTAACCCAAATTTCAACTTTAATGTAAAAATTCAACCCCCCGGTTGGTTGTCTTAACAAGGCTTGATAATTAATTCGTCTTGAAACTTAGGACAACCTTTCCGTTTTAACCACCCTTCAGGTTTTTCACTTGGCTTCGGCCAGTTAATAATTAAAAAACAACATGTTCGTCTCATCCGTCTTCAACGTTTGTAATTTACCGTTTTCCTGTTAACTTTCACAGTAAGTACTAGCTCTTAATGTTTTCAAATTTGCTATATTGTGATACACTTCTATAGTCGCCTGATGATGGCAGTACGCCGAAACTATAGTCGCTGTTATTTTTAAAAACTTCAACGAATAAAACTATATGGGGAAGGTTTAGAGATTTTTGATAACATAATATATTTCAACCCCCATTTCGAGGAACGATGGATCCAACTCAAAATGACTTTGTCGTGTTGATACATAGATGTGCTACATAGGGAACCGCTGTGTCAAAAATACATTTCATTATGTTAGTTTCTTTGATCACGCAACTGAAAGAATGAAGATCGAACAAATAAGTTTCAAGTTCCTTATATACAGGGTGGGGCACGGGAAACTCCCACATTTCAAAAGGTTGTTAAAAAAAAACTAATCGAGATAATGAAACAAGAATTTATTTATCAAAAAGATTACCTCATGTAGTTTTTTCAAACTACGTTTTAAAAATAATATCGTCTAAATGATGGCCTTGCCGGGCAATACAGATATTGAGCCTTTCGTGGAAGTTTCGCATGACTTTCTCAAGTGTGGTGGAGGTTATCTGGGCGATTTCTCCCTCGATTGCGGTTTTGAGGTCTTCCAGGGTCCTTGGACGATGTTTGAAAACCTCGGCCTTGAGGTAACCCCATAGATAAAAATCACAAGGGCTTAAATCGGGGGAGCGCGGGGGCCACTGAATGGGCTCATGCAAGGAGACCACCTGCCCGGGGAACATCTCCTGGAGAATAGCGCGTGAACGACGGGCTGTGTGTGCTGTAGCACCATCTTGTTGGAACCAGAAGCTCTCACGTTCATGTTCCTCACCGAATTCTTCGATTTTTGGCCTCAAAAAATTCTCAAGCATGTCACAGTACCGATCAGAGTTCACAGTAATCGTGACACCACCCTCCTCAAAAAAATAAGGCCCAATGATGCCTACAGACGACAGTGCACACCAAACTGTGACCTTGGGGCTGTGAAGGGGTCTTTGGTGAAGCTCTCGAGGGTTCTCAGCTGCCCAATAACGGCAGTTTTGCTTATTCACACACCCTGACAGATGAAAATGAGCTTCATCGCTAGTCCACAAAACCGCAGTGGGAGGCACTTGTTGAAGGATCGCCTCACAACATTCCACACGTCGCCCCCAGTCTGTTGGGGACAATTCCTGGGCAACCATGATCTTGTAGGGGTGCAAATTGAGGTCAGTATGCAAAATCCGCCTCACTGTTCTCGCCGAAATCTGAAGAGCAGAAGCATGTTTTCTCGCAGAACGCGTAGGACTCTGTTCGATCGACGCCCTCACTCGAGCAATGTTTTCAGGGGTTCTAACGGTGACAGCTGGGCCTTTCTTCTTTGAATTTAGCGCAGATCCTGTTGCTCTAAACTTTTGCACCCAAGACAAAATTGTTTTCCGGTCGGGAACACTAGCAGACGACGACAAACTGTACCTTGTACGGAATGCCCTCAAAGTAGCAGTTACAGATTCACCATTTTTGAAAAAAGTCTCGATAATGAACGCACGCTGCTCACCTGACCACGGCATGGTAACGACTGAAAACTACATCACTCACCGCTCCGAACGAGACCTACCCCACTCCTCTACAACCGCCCATATCCCAACAGCAGTTTTTTTTAATGTGGGAAGTTCCCGTGCCCCACCCTGTACAAAACAAATTTCATCGCTTTTATTGACTAATATGCGAGTTATTATTCCAAATACATAAAAATCTACATCTATAGGAATAACATCTTTTATTCTGTATACTTTATTGTTATATGTACCCTTTTTAGCGGAAAACAAAGGATACTCTTGGAACACATCAAAAGAGATTTTTGAAGAAGATAGAATTGTTTTAAAATGAGCAATACTCCGAAATGGATCAAAGGGAACTTTATTTTTGTCTACTAATGCATCAGAAAGACTTGTTTTAGAGAAAATTTTTTTTGAAACATTTAGCTGGTGCTTTATTGCTAATGTACGAGTTATATTTCGCCTACAAGTGACAACGTTTGCGGATGTCTTAGATTGCTTATGTTTGGATTCATATTTCAACGAAGACAAATAAATTAAAGGACCAATCTTTGAAATTATGCCTGGATAATGGGTGAGATTGTGGTGCTTAGGTTTTAATGGCAGAGAAAATAAATCTTTATACAATGTATGATGTTTAGAAATTATATTTGAAAGTAAATTGCATATGGAAGGATTCATATTAATACTGTCTGACAGAACAATTTTTAAAATTTTACGAAGTAATGTGTACAGTTTCCAATATTGGTTTCCTACTGGGATAACATCCTCTAACATGATTCCCACATATTGTACGAATGCTTTCATCTCAGCACATGACATGTTAATCTTCTTTTTCTTTAAATTTTCTAAGCTAAGGAGAGGTGGTTTATTTATATTCGAGTTGCCAAAATTAAAATATTTCATTCGTGAATTCAGATGATCTACAGTAAAAATTTTGTCTATAAAAATAAATTGGTATAATAATTCTGTCATATCAAAAAGAGCAATCCCTTCGAATATGTCGTGTGCAATATCAACAGAATAATTTTCACAGACATGAAATAACTGCACCTTATTCCACACACAAAGTTCTTTTATTCCTGTTACTTTTAAATTATTTAACTGGATGTCTGCTGCATAATTAGTTCTATTCCTCAACATTGTCTGATCCTCATTTACTTGGTGCTCCATATCTACTCTTGCACACTTACAAAACCTGCAGTAATGATTGGACCGAAAACTTTCTGTAAATCCCAGCAGTTTGTTCAAACCTAGATTATCTCCAAGTAATAAAGTAAGTACAAAATACACTTTAATTTTTTTACCCGAGCTTACAATTTCTATACCACTCTTTTGTAGATAATTGCATTCCTCAACAAATTTATTGAAAATGGCACTGCTGCCAAATTCCTTAAGGTCCATGGTATGAAACAATAATGTTAAAAATATGTTTTCTAGGGATGACTGAAATCTAACGGGCATGCAAGGAATTGAACTATATACTGCACCCAGTTTATGAATACCTGCATGGGAGCTTAAGGGATTTCCACTTTCATAGTCATCGTAGTATAGGAAAAACGGTAATACAATATCATTATTTTTGAAACTTTTCAATTTATCTTTCCAAAAACTAGTTTGAATAATGTTAGATATGTTTTCGACACTTTGTTTGTTTTCTATGAAGTATAAAATTTCAGGTAAAACATTAGGCATTTCAAGAAAGTTTTTAAATACTAGCCTTAAAGGAATAAACTGGTAAGTATAAGTTTGAGGCGATGCTAGCCCATTTTCCATTTTATCTAAACGTTGCCCCAGAATACATTCAACAGGATTGATGTAGTGATTTGATTTTTCTAAATATTTAAATCTCAGATACTCTGTGTGCAAACCTGTAAACATATTTTGAATTTGATCAATAAATTTATTTAGATTATCTCTGTGGGACCTATCCATGTTATATTTAGACACTAACACTTCCAAATAGTTTTTAAATATGTCTAGTGGTTCGGATATTAAGTCATGGATCGCATCTATGATAATCTGAACATCTTTTCTACTTAAGCTGCTATCCGCATAAAAGGCATGTATAAATATTAGTACGTTTTGAGATAGATAATTTTTAAAATCGTCGAAAAAAGTTGTATTCAAATCATGTGTTTTAGAACCACACTCTGTGTTCAATATATCTAAATCATCCTCAAAATTGCCATTCACTAATTCTTCATGAGATCCAGATGTGTTACCACAAGTATTTGATGTTTGAACAACTACATGCACATTTTTGTGTGATTTTAAGTGTTTTCTGTATGAATTTAGTGAAGGGAAATTCCTGTAGCAGTTTAATTCATTGCAATTATATTTACTATTCTCGCCTAAAACATGTTTTAGATGAGTCATTAAGTCTTTTATGTTACTGTAAGAGATATGGCATACTCCACAAGTAGGCATAGTAGAAAATTTTATTGTTTTGCTTCTTGTTCTATTTGATTCGATATGTCGGCAATAACACAAGCAGTACTACTGTGCTTACTAATAGTGACAGTTTTAAACACAATTTCTTGGATGAATAACCAGATGTGTTTGCATTCTATGGGATACTCTAGATTTAGTGCGTGTATAACTTTGTATAATAATTCTAGGACTCTTATAGATGAATTGACAACAAATTTTTTACCATACAGGACAATACAGAATTGTTTTTCTTCTATTCCAACTACCGCTCCAAATGGTTGCATTGGAAATCCATATGCCAGTAATTTTTTTTCTCTAGTTTCAATTAGTTGATCTATATCACTAAATGCCTAGAAAAAACAGACCTAAATTTAGGTACTTTATGTAATACAGCTACTCACGTTCACATTAATAAAAAAGCTCTCTTGTGTTTCTGACCTAGTTGGCCTCCAACAATTTGTATTTTGTTTGGTACCTTTCCTTAATGTAACCACAGAAAACAGAAGAGGAAGTACTAGCAAAGCTTTAGTGTTATTATCTAAAAAAAGGTAATTATTACAACATCATTTTTGTAAGAGTTTTACTACACTACCGAAATCATCTAAGTTGACCAGTTTAATTTTTCTATCAAGTGCCTCCTTTAAAATAGCCCGTGCAACTTTGGGCCATTCCTGATATATAATATCTATTTTGTCTTCATTTGCTTGATTAAAATCAGACTCCAACTAAAACATAATTTAGGTACCTATATTTTGTGAACATTAAAAATAAAAAAACTAATATTACCAAATCAAGTCCAGTCTGCAAACTTAATGCTGGAAAATCATCAAATATTTCTTGTAGAGTTTTATTGGCATAGATTCTAGTTCGTGTGTGGAACGTCGATTCCCAGTATTGAAGGACTTTAGTATATGGTTCTATCGATACTTTTAAAAACTCTAATTTCTCATCTGTTTCTGGGAGTTTGTTATCCTCCACATTAATATTGTGATCATCAACAGCTTTACTAGTATTTGCCACTCGGAAACTAGCTTTAACATAGATATACCGAGACCACAGTTTTCCTCTGGCCGATTGCTTCCGTAAACCTTCCTTCCCAGATGAATATGGAATAAAATAAGTCTCTTTTTTTTCAGTAGGGAACAGCTCCACTATTTCTTCAGCAGCTCTTGTGAAAGTGTCTGCCTTTATACTAAAACAAATAGAAATTATATGTAGGTTCATTATACAATACCTATATTCTTACTCAGTCCTATTTGATAATAAATAGCTAACGATGAGTTTGCATATTTTCTGCCTACAATCATTGCTCAGTTTTTTCCTATTTTTTAATGCCAACTGACCATCTGTATGTTGCATTAACAAATTCTCTAATCCCTAAAAGAAAGTTAAATGGATTAATCACCTCACTAAATAAAAGATACAAACATCTGAAAACAAGCTTCCTTGTTTCACTTTTTTTTTGGAATAGGATTGCTATTTTCTGAAATAATACTATGCATCTCTCTTGAAGGTGGAAGGCTCGGTGGTAGGCTCACGTCGAGATTCATATTTTGAGATGAATTTCCAATGTTAAAAAATGAACACAGTTCAGGATCGGGATCAAACTCAATCACATCATTTGAGCTGTTAGAAAAAACGGAGATAGTTTCTATTTGGCTCTACAACAATTACATTAAGTTATACATTAAACATTTCGTAGCAGTAGTGATTCAAATTAAAAGTCGTTAACTTGTGAACCACATGTACAGGGTGGCCAAGTTTAGACGTAAGTGTGGGGTAACTCAGACTATAAGTGATATGACCTATAATTTCTTTGCTTATTAAGCGGCAATGTGTTTATTGCAAAGGTTATTAGTTATGATTTTGTTTGTTACATAATCTGCCGTGTTCAAAATAAGTATACCGGTCAAGTAAAACGTTATCGGGCCTAGCCTAATTTTTTTAAATGGAACACTATATTTTAATCAAAACAGACACCATATAATTGAATTCTCTTTTCAAAAATATTGCACACCAGGAATATTTAAAAAAATATTCAAGTGATTAAGAAAAATCAAAAAGATTCAAAAAGAAAAAGGGTTCTAATGCTTAAAAAAATACAAAGGTATATAACAAATCTTTTAAAATGAGTCTTTTTGAGTTCATATTAAATTTTCTGATTTTTTAATGAAAATATGCCACATTTTTACATTAAAATATACGGGGTGTTCCATTTAAAAGATGAGGTTAGGTCAGACAACTTTTTTACCGGACCCTGCACATTTATTTTGAAAATGGTAGATTATGCAACAATCACTACAAAGAAACTTGTAATAGGTAAACACATTTCTGGTAACTTAATAACCAGAGAAGTTATACTTAGGCGTTTGTTTTCAACATCGAGTTTATCTAAAAAAAATAAGGGTTACTTCATACTAACGGCCAAAGTAGAACTCTTGATGATTACGTACGACTACGTATAGGGATAGTTATATAGAATGGGTTGAAAAAAAAATTATAAAAAAAGAGCGACGTCACAATTTTTATGTCATGTTGTACACATGTGCAACATTTTGACGTCGCTCTTTTTTCTATACTTTAAAAATTTTTATTCAACCGCCCACCCCTATACTTACAACTACTCTATACGTAGTCATAGGGAGTTAAAATTTTACATGTAAAGCTGGTATATAAATTTTGGGACATATCTGATCATCCCTAACCATCGTAGGCCTAAGAACCCTACTCTAACCGCCCCATCACATACTTTAAGTAAGTATATTGCAACACCTTTCATTGAATCACTGTAGGTACTGTATTGCACTTATTTATTTATTTACCAGTGACGATGGAGTAGAGCATGAACCTAATACTTCTTGCGTATAAAATTTTTTAAAGATCAGTCGTGGGCCGCTTTTCGGAAAAAGAACCCGGTTTCTTCGTCTAGCAAAGGAAAGCTTTCGTCTGTAATTCCCTCATCTACAAAACATATCATCAATCATAACATGACAATCAGACAATCGTTCTGAATATTGACTAACAGATTCCAATGCAATGCTATATAAATAACAGGACCAAGCAAGAATATGTTCGTAACTTCTACGCTGATGTACAAGTATAATTACACTCAAACCAAAGCTTTTTGTAATTTACTTTAGGTAGGTACTTCATGTCATTATACAGGGTGTCCCTAAAAGGTCTGTACAACGCGCTACCAGGGGTTCTTGGTATCAAAATAGGACGATTTAACCCTACTTACCTCTTTCCAAAAGTGCTTCGTTAAGGCGCTATCTACCGCCAAAGATTCAAAAAACAAATCGTTATTTTTATTTTATCGGAAAATGGTTTTGCCGATTAAAATGAAAGTCGGGATGTGAATGTCTAATGTAAAAAGGGTCTTTGTGATATCATCGTTTTGATTGTAGTTGCTATGTAGGTGGTAAAATACTGACCATCCACATCTGAAGAGGTCTAAAACTTTTTAACTACTATTTTGACGGCTCTGAATTTTTAGACACTGATAGACAGTTTACTTGCAAGCATTTTTTGTCTCTTGATAAATATCGCTATCGATGATGGTTTACGAAAAAAAAAAAATTTAGGCATGATGAATGGCGCACCATACATGCGATTGTTCCTCAAAAACCATAAGTGCAAGCAAGAAGTAGGCTATGAAACCGTAGTGCAGCAAGTAATGTAGAATAAACGAACACAACAGAGTAAGTCAATGTAATGTATTAATTTAAACGTACTAAATGTTCAAAGTGACCACCATTTTCACGCATACAAAGCATTACACGGCGTAATAAATTAAACTGTGCCCTTTGCAACATTGGTACGTTATTTTTTAAAGTTTTAAGTCTTCAAGCAAAACGTAAATTGTTAAAGTTTAAGAAACAACAAACAAACGTTACGCCACTCTAAGGTTTAACAGCCATCTTCTGATTTTTTGAGGAACAATCGCATGTATGGTGCATGCCATTCATCATGCCTAAATTTATTTTTTTTTCGTAAACCGTCACCGATAGCGATATTCATCAAGAGACAAAAAATGCTTGCAAGTAAACTGTCTATCAGTGTCTAAAAATTCAGAGCCGTCAAAATAGTAGTTAAAAAGTTTTAGACCTCTTCAGATGTGGATTGTCAGTATTTTACCACCTACATAGCAACTACAATCAAAACGATGATATCACAAAGACCCTTTTTACATTAGACATTCACATCCCGACTTTCATTTTAATCGGCAAAACCATTTTCCGATAAAATAAAAATAACGATTTGTTTTTTGAATCTTTGGCGGTAGATAGCGCCTTACCGAAGCACTTTTGGATACAGGTAAGTTGGGTTAAATCGTCCTATTTTGATACGAAGAACACCTGGTAGCGCGTTGTACAGACCTTTTAGGGACACCCTGTATAAATTTAAGAATATACGCATATTAAGTGCAACCATTTTATCCTAATTGATTTAATCCTAATGCCATGTATAATATTGTGCAATACTTACCCATAAAAGATTCATAGAAGTGTTCCAAACCGCATTTCTTTAAAAAAGATTTCACCGTTTCCATTGTGGGTTTAGCAATTACATAAACACTCGATTTGATTGAATGAATATTTATCCAACTCCAAAGTAACCAATCGGCAATCCGTGAAATGTAAGAAACATATGGAACACGAACAACCAAAACAAAAGTGGAGGCAACCTGGCAAACTTTATTCTATCTTTTTTGGAAGAGAGATATATTACAGTTAGGCTAAATCAGGTAGAATCTACATTATGTAAATTGGAGAATGGTATACCCCAGGGGTCTGTCCTAAGTGTAACGCTTTTTCTCATTGGAATTAACGACATAATTAACTCCATTCCAGATACTGTACATAAGGTACTCTACGTAGACGATTTAGTGATATTTAGCAGTTCAAGTTCAATGGTGGAATTGGAAGGTCGAATACAAGAAGTAATAGATAACGTCGTGACGTTGGCTGAAGGTAGAAAACTTACTTTCTCTAGAGAAAAGACAGCGGGTATTCACTTCTGCCGATTGAGAACAGAACACGCTGAACCACAACTATTTATTAAAGGAAAACGGATTCAAATCAAAAACACAATAAACCTTCTGGGAATGATTTTTGATAGGGGAATGTACTTTAGGGACCACATTGAATATCTTAGTGCAAAGTGCAAAAGACGGCTAAATATCATTAAATGTATCGCTAATATAAATTGGGGCGCTGAAACAAATACACTGTTGCTGCTGTATAAAACGTACATACTACCTATCTACGATTATGGATGCATCATTTACGCCTCGGCTCGACCATCACATCTGAAATTATTAGATAGAATTCATGCAAACGGTCTTAAGGTGGTACTAGGTGCTTTTAGAACGAGTCCGCATTCATCGCTACATGTAGAATCTGGTATCCCTCCTTTGTATCTGAGAAGGAAAAAGATCCTTACTAACTATTACCTGAAAGTTTTATCGCTCCCAGAACACTTGAACTACCAAATCACGCAAGACCTAGATACTGCCAGATTATTTCATGCAAGACCTACCATGTGCCAACCAAGTATTGTTAGGGCCATATACTTTATGGAAACAAATATCCCTAATCAACCTGATGTATTCCAACATCATATTTCGGAATACCCACCATGGGTAATCAGACAGGATGATATTATACTAAACCTTGAAAGATTTCCTAAGGATACTACACCAAATAAAGTATATCAAACTTCATTTTATGAAATTCGAAACAAATTTTATGATTTCCGAGCAATATACAGATGGATCTAAAACTACAATAGGTACTGGAAGTGTCATTCATACCCACGGAAAAACATACTCCTGGACTTTACATAAACAAGCAAGTGTATTTACGGCCGAACTTTACGCAATTTGGCATGCGTTATTGATGTGTTCTCATAGCCATGGAAACAAATACATCATATTTTCGGATTCATTGAGTGCCATCAAACGAATTTCAAACATAAAAGATAAAAAAGATCCACTAATTAACAACATAAGAGCCATACAGCATCATTTACAAGAAAGGCGTATTAGAACCATTTTTGTCTGGATACCAGGACATGCCGGAATCGTTGGTAACATGGTAGTTGACAAAGCAGCACAAGAAGCGTCGAGAGGTACTTACCTTAATGACATCCCCGTAAGACCAGATGATTTGAAAGGGTGTATCAAACAATCGTTGAAAGACACATGGCAGAGCGAATGGAATAATGTAGATACTCACCTAAAGGAAATCAAGCCAACCATTATCCCATGGGAAAATAAGTGCTATGGAAGTAGAAGAGAACAAGTTGCATTATCAAGAATAAGAATCGGTCACACAAACTTAACACATTTACATTTATTAGGAAAGAGCCAACAACAGAAATGCAACGAATGTGATATCTATTTGAGACTACAATCCTCTCCTACAATTTGTGCACAATGCAAGCAAAGTCGCGTTGACGCGTTCTTTTTCTTATCTTGTAGCATGTAGGTATGAAGGTATTTTCTTACGGCAGTCGTCGAATTATTGCGGATGTTGCCGATACGAATAGTTAATGAAATTTTTTAACGATGGTTATTCGAAGTACAATTTGTAATAACTATTTTTATAACTTGTTTGTTAATCAGCTTAATTGTGATAGTGATATGATTTGTAACAAAACTATATTATAAGTATTGTTAACGTTGTCGACTGTCATACTCACAATGAATAACTGACACAATAAAACCATAATAATAAAACGTAATTAGTAATCACAATGATTGCTGACGAATAGCTATAACTAAATGTTTATTACCATTATTATGATGTTTAATAGCTATTATTATTTTCATTTTAGTTAAAGTGTATAACTAGACCATTTCTTTCAGTGTAGCAAATGTGCACGTTATGTATTCTTTCAGCATCAAGATAATGCATTTGAAGGATTTTACAACTCTAAATTCATTTCTAAAGAATAATTTTTGGTACATTTTGCCATAAAACTTTTGACCTAGACCACAAAGAATAGCTATATTGAATTGTTACACTTCTAAGAGTCATAGGGAATACTCTAGCGAAAGTCCGAACTCGTTCCCAGTCAGCAGCGTGACGTAATTTTGACGTCACTATTTGGTCATGGCCGACGTCATTCTGTATGATTTAATGACGACTTAAGTACGTCATAATGACGGGAAAATGTCACAGCCCAAAGACGTCATCAGTAGACGTGTTCTAGACGTCATATAGAGACTAAATTTCCACAGCCCAACGACGTCCTCACAACGTCAATTGACGTCAACGCGTATAAAACGTCCTCAAATCAAATATTTAAACAGTACTTAAACATGTTTAATGAGTAAAATAATTACATAATTCTTAAATATATACAACATATTAACACAAAAACTGTAAGCAAAAGGCAGTTATACTGTATGAAGCAAAGGAAAAATTACTTTTTCGTTGTTCAAATAAGGCAGAGCTATGCATTTAGCAATAACATTTTGCAATGGCCAACTATAAAGTTCAGTTGAAAAAGAAAAGACTCTATATATATGTAAGTTTTGAGAATCAAAGGGATAACTATAAAATGACTTAAATTTATGGAACTGTTTTCCAATTATTTCAACTCCCACTGAAGAAGACAGAATGTTTTGTACTTCAACAACTTTAATTTTTTCATTATCTTCAACAAGACAGTAGGAATTAGCTACAGAGTAACTATGAATAATTAAAGTTAGATCATCATAAATTACTTTTTTAAATTGACTAACTTGAATAAAATTATATTTTGGTATTAATGGACCCATAACGTGTGCCAAAAACAAAGATGTTTGTGCAGCGCTAGTTATAAAACTGTCTGCATTCTGGTGCAATTCCCCTAGTCTTCTACATAATTGCTGTAATGGTTTTGAAGGTTTTTTAATAAGTCGCTTCAGTTGACCTAAATAATTTTCAAAGCAAAATGCAGAGAAACTATCTAATACTCCATAGAGTGTTACATCATCACAAAGATGGCAAAGCATGTGTACATTGTATATAATAAACTGTTCACCATAAATATGTTCACTGTGTTTCACAAACGTGTTAATAAATGTTCTAGCTAAATTCATAAATTTGGATATAAACTTTTCTGAGATTAGAATTGTTATACTACTATGGAGTAATAAGAAATGCTCATAAATGGCACTATTAATTACCCTATGAAGCGCAACTGGTCCCACATACAACAGGAATGTCCGAAATTCTGTTGCTTTCCATCTTGGAAGATCACTTAATGAACGGGGTTTACGATTAATTTCTAGTGGTATGCATGATGAAGTACTGGTGAGATAATTAGAAATGTCAATAATTTTTTTACCATTAAGTTTAACTGCCTTGTCTGGTCCTAACCAAGTATTAAGAAGTTTTCTCATAACCCCCAAGCACACACAGTGCATATAATCATTGGGAAAAGCTGTTACTAAACCAATGCCTAACTTAAGCAGTGGGGATATACCTAAATGGTGATCTTCATCCTGTTGTGCAATGAAAGATGCGTCAGTTCGTCTTGGTGCAGATATATTTTTCAAAACTACACGGCCTTGAATGTATTTACCCGTTTCAATGCACTTATCACAGGAAGAGTAACCACTATGACCCTTAACACATTTTAGATAGGCCCTAGCAGGGCTATCACACACAAAGCTTCTGATTGTGACCTGATATGTTTGTTCTTTAAAGTACAAGCCAACGTTTAACAAATTTAGAAGTTCGTCAATAAACTCAGATAGATATAAATGTAGTGGTTCTGGTTTACCTTGCCCACAAAATATTCCAATAGCAAATGGATTACTTTTAACAGATTTAATAAGGCCTAATATTGGCCATATACAAGTATTTGCACTTTTAAACAAGGGCAAACCATCTATATTAAAACTTAAATCAATTGTAGTATCTACCCGTAAAATTGTAATTACTCAAAAAATATTCTAAGTGTTTTTGAAGTCCGATATGTATATACTCTCCATTGTTCAACATTATAGTATTAAATGAAGTAGGGGTTTTTAATAACGTTCTGAAATCAGTTGGTAATTCTGGATGATAAGGTTTTAATATTTTTAGAAGATCATTTACTGCGGACTTTGGAACACTTTTATGCAGAGCCCATCTTCTGATCTTAACCAATAGGTCACCAGAAGACGGCGTTGGTTCAGTATCCGCTTGTGTTTCCTCTACATTGCCCTCACTTACTTGAAAATTAATATCTTCAGAGATATCATACTCCAACAGATCCTCATATGAACTAGAATCATCACTTGACTGCTGTACAACACTTTCAGGTATCTCAGAAGATAAATTGTTGCAAACATTTGACGAATTTATAAAGTTATCTGATAATTGAATAGAAATATCCTCCTGTTCTAATTGCACAGTTCCAGATACAGTAATATCATTGTTTTTGTAAAAATTATTTTTAGTTTCAGCTATACGTCGATATAACTGCCTTTTGCCCACAATATGGTCATTAGTTTTATAGTATTTACGTTTAGACATTTTGTGTAACAGAAAAAAACACACAGTTATTTACCAACGTTCTTGATTAACCAGCTTTCTTCTGTTTGGTCTTTAGTTCTGCTTGTAACCGCTGTGGCGCATGTTTCAACCAAATTTTGATGGCAGTATGAACTTGATCATCAGATACAACTGTACTTGTACATGAGCGCTGTACAGCACCTACAAAAAATAACAAGAATCACTTCAAATCTTATTAATAAACTAATTTCGAATGCCTTATTTCTACAAAGACTGTTCCACAGTACAGATGAATTACTTGATTAAAAATTTTAGTTAAGGGCTAATAAATTATGCTAATTAAGTAAGAAAGTGCTTTTTACTATTTTTAAATTTGTAAATAATTTACTGGGCACATGCAATTGATATGTATGAAAGTAACAAGCAAAATAAACAGAAAAATCACTTACGGACTACTGCCGTTTTCACAAGTAAATCGTTAAAAGCCTTTTTTCCTGTCTGCTACCCATAAAACTATATTTTGTTGCTAAGTCATTGCTCAGTAGCTGCCTCATCATGTTGTTAGTTTTAGAAGTAACATCTTTCCCGCCTAGTCTTGATAAATGTGATACCTAGAATTGGCTATAAGTAAAAATTACATGATAACAGTGTTCTTTACCAAAAGATTAAAGATTTCTTTTTCTTTAATACAAGTTTCCGTTGTAGCTAAGTCGGCACTTTTCGTTATGGGCAACACAAATGGTAAATCTTGATTTTGATTTATTTGAGATTCACTTGAAGAGTTGCTTTGCTTTTGTATCCACGCTAGAATTTGTTTGTTTTGCTCTTTAATGCAAGAAAACAAATCGATAATTGTTTCATCGGTCAGTGCTCTTCGTTTTTTACCTTTTAATTTTAAATTAAATTATGTAGGTACCTATACACAAATTTAATTTACCTGTTGATGGATTAGATTGGAAGGAAGACCCTTGTTGTTCTTCTAGAATGTATTTTGTGTTTAGAGTTCAATAAACGAAAAAATTTATTTATATTACCTATTAATGTAATTGTGGACGATGCAGAGGAACAGGATCGACTTGATAGGGTGGATCTCGGAGTTGATAGTTCCTTATCTCTCAAAAAGGTTGAACTGTGTTGGGGGCTTAAATTGGACTGCACACTCCCTGAAAATTAACATTCGATTACATCACTAATGAATTTTATGTTACCTATGGATTTAGAAGTCTTAGATGAAGAGCGACGTAAGGGCAGAGATTCAGGATTCGCATCTAAAATTTGGTTCGAATTATAATTGTTTCTACCTACAAAAATGTTTATCAATACTAATTTGCCGCTTCATTTTTAATATTATAATTAACAAACCTTCGATTGAAATTCGAGGTGGTTTTGGAAGAATATTTTCTTCTTCTATGCTACAGTCACTCTCATCGACATCATCATATAACCTACGTGGGGCTACACGTTTCCGTTTACTTTTCTCGCATACAGAGGTGGTGCTTTTATTAGTAGTAGTTTGTTCGTGGTCTGTGGCTACATCCGATAGTTCTTCCGCCAATTTTATTTTTCTTTGTGCCGTATTATAGTCATCTGCAATGAAAAATTAAGTTTCAAACCAAACATTATCTTCGACTATTACCCGTTTCGAAAAATATTCGGGCCAATTTAGTATGTTGCCATTTATCTATTACAGGGAGTTCGCCTCGATGCAACGATTTATCGTAATCATATTGGGTTGTATAATTTGGCCAATAAGTGTGCTGTTTCGAAGGTGTGAGCCATTTATCAGATACAATGGCCACAAACCCTCTCTCTTCCTGGTCAAATTCAACACCAACATAAGCCATTAGTAATACTATACTGTATAAATTACAATTAGAATAAAAAGATTAGATAGGTTTACTTACACAAACACACGTCACAGACCAGCAAACTTGCTTTTTGCAGTTTAAATTCCACGTTATTTTTTGTGTAGATGCACTAATTCCCGCACAAGCACAAAAGAAAAAACGTGTAAAAAAAGCGCGCAAATTTAACATAACCTCAATTCTCATTGCAGTCTGCCATCGATGAAGCACTGTTGCCAGACTGCAAATTCGTTAAATTAGTGCAGCATTGCCAATTATAATACGTGAGTATATCAACCAATGGTATTAATAATCACAATGTTGCTTCTCGTAAAAGTACAATATGTAGTATCGATTATATCCAGTATCACTGATTTACTTAATAGATGAAAGTTTAAAAAAATATAAATTATGGGTCTGTTTCACGGCCTGATTATCACGTTGTAGTAACGTCAAAGTATGACGTAAAAATTGGTCTTTAAGATCACGTCAATATGACGTCCTTTATTGGTGGTTCGACGTCTTCGACGTAGTATCACCAATTTTTCACGTCATGAGGACGTCGTTTGCTTACTGGGTTACATGACCTAGGGAATGAAATATGTTGATTTCTATGCTGGAGCAGTACTCTCCCCCTCAGCACCCTAACTCCGTTCCTTCCGTTCCCATCCCTAACTTATCCATCCTTACAATCCCGTTCTCTGGCTGAAGAGGGCCAGGAAGCCCTGAGCAGCCCGCCTCCGGTATCCCTGTAGTCAGGGGTGCGGGAGGAATGAAACACGTTGGCCTTTTTCCTTTTGATTTCTATTATATTGAACCCGCAGTTTTGTTCCCGATATACTCGAAGTCCTATAACTTTTGTTCCTGTTGCACCAGCTTTCTGAAAATAATAGCGCCCGTCCTTAATGTCCAAAGTACCCGTACACCAAATTTCAACACAATCGGACACTTACAAAGTCGAGCAAAGACTTATAGCGCACATGGGCGGACGGACGGACGACAATACAAAACTATAAAGGATATGAGGATCCTTAATAATTCGAGAGCGAGGGGTGTTTTGTGTGTAAGTGTCAAGAGTTTAAAATGAACAATGTTGTTCATATTTGTGATCAAATTAAGCACTTCTTAGTCTTCTTAATGGAATGAGAGTTACCTAAATTATTTGCGATGGTAAATGACATAAGAGCGGTTAACAAAGGTTGTAATTATAACATATCCATAGACAAAGATTTAGTAAGCAATATACGATGAAATGGTTTCAACATTTGCTTTTGCGTATAATTATACTTAATTCCTGTTTTGTAAAATGTTTATTGTTAATCAAAGATAGGTATTAGCTTTGTGTTTGTGTTAATGTATTGCTTTTTAAATTATGCATTAGTTAGCTTGACTACCACCTATTTAAACGCCCCGCGAACATCAAAATATATATATAAATTATTTACACGTGTCAATGTACAGAATATATACACTGCTGGTTATCCGGGTATCATCCTTAGGTGCGTGGCAGTTCTCCTTCCTTCCAGATCTTCAGCCAACCTTTTTAGGGCCAAGTACAGCCCGTGTCTAACCTGCAAGAAATAAGGTTGCTATTATAGCAGATCTTTTAATTGAGTCAGTTTCGTATTAATAAATGCAAGGTAGGAAATTATACGTTTCGTTATACACGAAATCGACACATTTCACGGTTAGTTGCATGTTTAACAACAGGAACCGATTTTCGTGGTATATTATTATTTAAAGGCCAATTATGTAAACGAGCATCAGCGAAATATTAAAGAAGGGAAAAGCCGAAACAGTCGCCTGTTAATAATTCTGTGCCAATTTAGCTATACCTAACTCGCATAAAGCGATTGTAGTAAATGAAATTTGGCGGTACGTACTTATCCGAGCAATGAAAATGAAATATTCAAACAGTGGAGGTAAAGGAAAATTATTTTAGTAAAACGGAGCGCTAAAAAGATTAACTTGTTGGTGTCAAAATCGTGGCAGCATTTAGGAAGTGTGGCGCAAAAATTCAAGTGGAAGCCCATCAAGCGATATTTATTGTTATCCCAGTCGTAATTCAATGGACCCTTATCCTTCTTTACAAAAACAATTTTCAAGTATTTGCCTCGTGCCTGTACGTTATTTTAAATTTTTATTGTGTATTTTTTAAGCGTCCCAAGTGTTTCAATTGCAATCGCAATTGGAAAAATTCACACTTCAGGACAAAGAAACACTAATTGCTTGGAAAAGTGCAGACAAAGTAGAAAAATAATGTCTTTGTAGTCTAGAAATGACTTGTAACTGGGAATGGGAAAACTTACAGTACGTGTGTATAAAGCTGACTATTCAATTCATCTAACATTTGTCACATTTCAACCAGTGAAATGTCGACATTTCAAATTGTTGAGCCAATGGGAACGAATTATAGTGATAATTTCACGTGTGGTATTTCAGCGATTATATCATTCATACGACATTGAGCCAATCAAAACTTCCACTTTCCTTAGATACCAATGCATTAATAAGCGATTATACCCTTGACGACGTGATATAATCGATTTGGTGTTTTCGCTATGTCATTTAAAGTCATAAATCTAGTATACACTATATTTGATGACAATAACAATAACTGTCAAAATAAAATTCTATTCATTATACAGTGTGAGCAACAATGATTGAAGCGTGCGTCATCACCGCTTGTTCCTATTAATATCAAAACTACCTTCTTTGTATGGAGTTGTATACGAAAATGACGTTCTGCGCTGTCACAGTGACGTGCGTCTATTCGTATTTCGTATCTTGTATCAAATCAACATATGCTATGAGCGGCACATTGCCAATTTAGCTGAAGCGGCACGCTTCAATCTTTGTTGCTCACTCTGTATAATCGTGTCGAATACCACTCGAGCATTACAAAATAATTTTTATACTACCTCGTAACTCGACGAATAATCCCTTGAAACACCACTCGACCTTCGGTCTCGTGGTGTTTCGGATCATTCGTCTCGTTATTCGGTAGTATAATCGATTATTTTGTATGCTCTTGTGATATTACAATTGATAATTTCACGTGTGGTATTTCAGCGACAATTCAATGCGATTATTCAATGACATTTGTCAAACTTCCACCAGTGAAATGTCGCGAAATTTTGTCGTATTAACCAGAACATTCTTCTTAGTTTGTTAATCAATTTCGACAACCGACTTATCACCACATCTTTTAATTTAATCACTCATAACGAATTAGCTTGGAGCACAAAAGTTCGAATAGAATCAATAGCAAAATGAAAAGCAACTTCCTTCCGTAATTTATTTTGACGTTTATTGTTGTCATGGAAATACATTCGCGTGGGTAATTATGCTTAATTTTTCTTTTGATTCATTAAATAGTCCTCCGAATACCATTCGTAGTCGAAGTATTTGTAGATTATTTTTGAGCTGCTGCTCCACTCATGCTAGTTACGCTTTTTAATACCACTCGCGCAAGCGCTCGTGGTATTAATCAGCGTAACTAGCATTCGTGACAGCAGCTCAAAAATATTCGACAATACTTCGACTACTTATGGTATTATATATGATAATACAGTTTGCAGAAAGTTAAAAGTCCTTAATAAGAAAACTTCGCTTGTTTCACCATTTCGACAATGTATTATGAATGTATATATGTACTTGCAGGAATAAAAATCTATACCCTCATTATTTGCATCTTAACGGCTATAATTGGTGTGTCGATAATAACCACGCGACCACTTATAGCCCAGGCACTTTAGACAAAAAAATGCCCTAAATTAGACAAAATTAGTAACTAGCTGATTTTTGGTGGGGTGTTAGTATATGATAAGGTGAGTATTTTCTGAAAGTTCCCCTTACTTCCCCCGCTTGCTTCACCCAGTACAGCGATAGAAAGGGCCTCTAACCAGAACGTAATGAAATAGCTATTGTGCTCCATCTATGGCACCGATTTTGGTGGTCGTGGTCTTAAATTGTTCAAAATGACAGTGGTTGTGCTAAATAATAACCACTGCAATAATCCATAACATTTTGTGGTGTTTTATTTGGAATTTTATGTAAATTTTACCACAAATCCAATAAATAATTAAAGCGCTGTCAGAGCACCTAAAACGAAGAACTTTGTTACAATTTCGCATCTTTAACATCCTTATCATCCTGCAGAGGATGCGATCGATGCATTGGCGCAATCTCCAATACAGAGGGTAAACTTGGAAGGACAAGCTCGGGCGCAGTCACAATGTCTATCACGCTGGCCTTTACAATCATATGTATAATTAAATGAAAAAGCTCGTCAGGGGCTTGGTGACTTTCTCGTGAGATATCCGGAATCCCCATTCTGTGGGTGTTAGTGGTTTCCAAGCCAATGTTGTACCAGAAGATACACACGCGGTGAGAATGGAGAAAAGCCGTGTCAGCCGTCGGTTGGAGGACGAATTGCCAAGTCGAATTCTGATGAAACTTTCTGGTGAGCGACAGTGTATATCGAAACTAGTTTTTTTGCAGATGCGTTCAACATTTTCCAAACTGTTTTCTTCCCTTTTCCGAATCAAGACGAGGTCTTGTCGAATCCCGACGTTGGGTCGCATGTAAAAAGAGCAAAATCGCTTTTGTGCGGCCAATTTTTTTAACGTCGTCGTGTATGGTAAAAGAATTTATTTTTTTAGTAGTTGGTTTAACGAAAAACATTTTTGAAGAACACTCCGCTTAAGTGATCATAAGCGCGAATAAATCCGCATCCATCGCAACTACGACAACTTAGTCTAAAGTGGTCGCCTCGATACCGACCGTCACAATCGAGGTGTCGGCGTCTTGCTTTATCTGCAAGTCCACACAGCGAGATCTTCTGCTTTCCTCACAGGCGTTCGTGCTCGTTGATGAGTCATACCCGTCAAATACTACCACTGTGGACTGACCATAGTGTGTCAGTACGTATTGGACATACGAATGGCAATGCCGTTTACGACGCGATGTTCAATGGTTAACCTCGGTTTTACCACCCGCACGTTAGTACATAAGGGAGATATTTCAGTTGGGTCAAAAATGACCCCCCACTCCTTTGACGGAAATACACGTTTTGAAGCACCAGGATACAGGAATCAAACATCCAACAAAATCTCAATGATTTCGGTCTGTCGCTCTGTCTGTCTGTAGGTACTCTCATTTGCGGGCACATATTCTTAGACATAAATGGGTAGAATTGCGCATACGCAGGTGTACGGGTGGTATCTATGCTAGACACTGCAATTTTTTTGTTTTATTGTAACGTCACAAAAATTACCAAACATTTTAAAGAAAACGGTTTAAAATGCCATGAATTGTTGTAGTGGTTATTCTTTAGCATAACCACTACTATTCTGAACAATTTTAGTCC